GAGTCGAGAAAATACATCCGTCGGCTTGGACAACAGTCAAAAGCTCATTGTCACCATATAACTCGAGGTTAGAGATGTAAGAAGATGGTCCTCGGTCAATAACGAGTTCGTTGAGAACCTCAAATTGTTCGCCTTCTACCGCCTCGTGACCTTGTTCCTTTCCATCCCGGTATATCGTACATGTGAAACGCATACGAAGGTTAACTCGCATACCTTCCTCTCCCATGACTTTGTTCAAGTGTTCCTTGAAACGATCATATTCAAATCCAGTCAAAAAGCCAAGACTACCGAGACTGAAGGATAAAATGGGTGGAACAACACGTTGGAAGAGCCACGAAGTAAACAAGACAGTACCGTCCCCACCCAAAGTGAGAACGAGGTCAAATTTCTCCGGTTGACTCCAGCAAAGATCTGGCGACCAGTATTTCAAAAGATGTTGGAATCGAGGTTGTGATTCAATCAAGGCTGCTGCTCCAAAACGCTTCGAGTTGCGCAACTTCGCATCAACGTAAACATTAACACCCAGGTCTGAGCCATATCGTGGAGTACTCATGAGCCAAAGTGCTAAATCCTTGGTCAAATTAACCAACTGATTATCTCTAGCCTTTGTAACAATCATGACATTGCGGACGGCTCTCTTGATAGGGCGCCTTTGCAATTGCTTAGAAACTTCTCGCACGCCAGTAGCCGTTGCCATGAGTCGAGAATGTGACATTGATTCGTCTCCGTTGATCTCTTCAAGCACCTTATCGATATTGACAGCGTCATCGAATCGTTGATGGTAAAAGCATGGTGATTGTAGCGAGGGAAATCGAGCTGTGACCGGAGTGTTTCGCTGTGCCAAATCCGATATTGCTGCATTGAGTTTCTGCGATGAGGCAGTCCCCGGTCTCTCAGTCGATGGCGCTTTCATGTTTGCTAAAGAAAGATTTTGTGGATTATGTTGTTTCGACGATGCCAATGCTTTCATAATAGTCTGGCGAGGTACAGCGTCGACAGATAGAGCGTTCTTGCAATGGTTATGGAACGTTCGGGAAGCCCGTGTAGGAAATACCGGTGATGACGGAACAGAAGCCGAATCGCTTCCTACAGTTGTTGCAGCGGAAAAAGTTGTGGATGGGTCAGTCGATGATTCGAAAAGATCATTATCTGGGAAGTTGGTTTCAATGGCATTCAAAGAACCGAACTGTGCGCCCTGTTCGCGTCGGAGATTGTCTCCAAGATTAAGTTTCGAGTTTAAGGCATTGAAACCCAAAAAGGATTGAGCCGTAGCTGAAGGTGTAACAGCTTCATCGAATACGGACTGAGAAGGTTGTGGGGGATCATTGGGCTTAGTAAGAGCAGGATGAATCGAAGTCGGAGAGCGAATGTCGGACGTGGACATTGTGGATGATGACGCCAAATGCTTTTTGAGTAATCTTTTTTTGAGTCGGAGTTCGGAAGCCGGTAGAATGTGTCATAAATGCCGACAAATCCGGGGGTGTGATTGGTGGATGCAAGGATTATCAAACAAAACTATTATTATCGATTGGGGTGTCAAGGGTGTCCAGGATAAATGCTGGGTAAATCGATAGTACGGAGTACAGAACAGAGCAGCCCTGGAGATTGATTGTGTGTAGATAATGCAATCTAGGTCGGATTCAGATCGATCGACGGGAGGTATCTGGAAGGAGAAGATGGAGACGGAGTCGAAGGAGATGGCTGAAAAGGATCAAGAGGTAATCTTCTTCCTGATATAACTCCTTGGCTGCTGTCTGATCTGACAAGAGGAAATACAGGATAGAATGGAGTCGAGGAGAAGAAAAAGAAGAATAAGAAGAGAGGATGAAATGATAGATGAAGGGAATTGTTTGTTTTCAGTTTGCGGAGGCTTGTTGGTTGTGGATTCGACTTTGTTTTGCACAGACAGTCTTGATCAAAGAGGCCAACAGTCCGTATCGGGTTGTCCGTAAAGACGTGATTTCGGATACAACGGAGGTAAGAAGTGGATGTATCGTTTACCATTAGGTACTTTGAAAGATGGGCATGTACGGAGGAGTATGATATAAATTATATCTCCAGGTGTGATTTCGGATCTTGGACTTGATTCCTTCGATTGGTAGTTGGCAGGTTGGCGGGCTTGTGAAAATGTAAAAAGACGCAGGAGAATATGTGATGTAGATTAATCTCGAGTAGCACAAATCTTGCCAAGTCGTAAAAAGATGTGATATATCTTGCTGTCGACTACTAAATGTGATCTCAAGTCAGTCAGTCTTCTTCAATTTCAAAATTTATATTGGTCCCCAATGCTGGTGCCACTGCTGGCTCTCAATCAATCCTTCCACCAATCCTAGGTAATCTTCATGATCAATCTTCAATATGCTTCTACCCCACACATAGAAGATATAAATATGGATATCCTCCCAGATAAAGCATGTATGAATGACCCCATCGAGTCCATCCCGTCTTAACTCCACAAATGAAGTAATAGACTCACCTGATTGTAGTAAGCGAAACTAATAAGCCTTTCTAAAAGCTTCTTATGTGATATATCTTGCGTCTCGACAGCTTGTTGTGACCCTCTTTTGTGAAAGTGTCGAAAGCGTAGGGTATCGTGTCCGGTGATAATTCTCCACAAGGTGATAGTGATTCGGCGTGCAGAGGAACGAGACCAAAATAGTCAAAGAAATAACAACAAATGAAGATTAAGATATCTGCCCGTGGGAATGGAAAAGAAGACCGTCGTCTAAATTTGGAGGGCCGATCGGTTGGAGAAATAGAAGAGAAGTGAATTGATGCCGAATAAAACAAGCAATACCAAGCCAATATTAAAGTAGAAATGTGGATACAACGGTTCAAGAATCCACAACTGAAAAAGAAAAAAGAGACAAACAGAACGCACAAGCTACCAGAGCTTTGCTGAAAGAATCGAGTATTAAAAACGACAGATTGGTCTGATGGTGAAGACTAGAGAGAGACGAGAAAGGATACTCCCACTGACAAGACTTCCCTTTCTATATGAAGTGAGTTAGCCTAGTTACGATACCTCTCCAGATTCCTTTCCTCGACATCTATGTTGTTTTGCCTTCACAATGGGACGCTGCACCTTCTAACACGGTTACAGTTGCCACTTCATTCTCCACTATGATCGTCAAATATGGAGGCGAGTTTTGAATCTCGAAAGGATCCAAGCTAGCGTTTTCAGTCGGGGTCCAAGGTCAGCATTAAGCATAGGGAACTCGCAATACTAGTAACATAACAGGTGCGAAGATACAAGAATGGTGTTTGATATCACGAAATACTCTCAACTGCTAGTGAGCATGATAATATTGAAAGACTCATTTCATCGCGTATTGTTTTTGCTGGCGAGTATTGATTGTATTATTATATTATAGATTTCATCTGATCAACTTGTGGCTCGGGAGTTACTCTCAAAAAAGTACAAAAGTCCCTGCGCAAATCTGCAATCGCAATTGAGTACTTCCTAGGTTTCCTTGTCTGACTCGACTTAGAATACTCATCTCCAGTGAACGTTTTGAATTTGCTACCTTTATCGGGAATGGTCGACGGAGGATGAAACGTGGGATCTTGACATGTTGTATCAGATTCCCGATACACACATCCTTTAATGCCTCGGATAACATTGTTTGTTCACATCTCTCCCGTAATTGGTACTCAGAAAAACGAACTTGGTCCCAAGTTCCAACTCAGATCGCGTTCATAATTCGTTTCGATATGCGGCACCAGCCCTCGTATGCATTTTTCACGTGTGGGCTTTCCCCGTTCCCGTATCCAAGATGAAACCACATTACGGTCCTGACGTTTGGATGACAGCGGTAACATTGATAGAAAATTTTCAACCTTTCCAATGGAGATCGGTAGCAACCTTTTCTTGTACTGCCGATTTGACGAACATCATCATGCTTGAAGGTGCCTCATTCTCAAGCCCATCTTCATGCATGATATCATCCTCCGCCAATCCATGACCTTTGCAGCATAGACCCTTTCCATGCTCGTATACTTCTTCCCATTCATCCAAATCGAAACTTCCCTCACTTTCTGCAACGAGAAGCTCCCCGTGTGATGTGAATGCCAATACATGGACTGAAGCAGCATCTTGACAATCCAGAGGAGTAGGGTTTTCTATTATAGTTGTGCCATTCTCGGTATTCTTCAAGGCAAGCAATACTGATGTCATGGTCATAGAAAGCGGTATAGAAGCGGATAATAAGGTCAGAACCGACGTTTGGAGGAGGGCAGGGAGTAAGGGAAGGTTCTAAATGATCATTAGCAATCGAAATATAGAACAAGAGTGTGTCACACATACCGAGCTGGCCTGTACAAGTTTTGACCAAGCAGTGTCATTTTCTGGTGTACTTGTAATTTGTAATGTAACTTGAATAAGGGTTCGTGGAAAATTGTGGATGAGGATTATTTGGCGTAAAGAAGATTGAAGGATTGCTTCAAGATGTCTCTCCCTAGTACCTAAGACGTAATCAGTTCCAAGTCTGTTAATCAAACAGTATTTCTATCAGAGCTACGCACCTCCAACACCAGCAGCTGGTCTCACTATCACATCTATAGCCGCTTCTTCTGGCAACTCATCACGTCTCTGAACTTCGATAGGACCGTTTACAGCGCCAATGATAGTATAACCATTTTGTGAGAAGCTAGCAGAACCATCTACTCTATGAAGAGGCGATAGTATGGTTGTAGGTTCGGTTGAGCTGACCATTTTGTTTGTTAGTATGGGGGGCGTAGATGTGAAGTTCAGATTTATTATGAATGGGATTGAAATCTTTCAAAGCTTGAGCAGAGCTTCAATGATGAATGCGCTTGCACTGTTGAAATTGAATTGCAATTTTTTGTTATCGTTATCGCAATGTGCGCTAAACACTCCTTGGGAATAGCCTAAAGTCCCTGGCAGTGCCGTGGGGTTGGTACCTTTCGAGCTTGCCATGCCACTTCCTCTCCTTTGTAATCAACATCAACAATATCCAACAATATCAAGCATTTACAAGATGTCTTCAACCGCGGAGCACATACAAAGTCCAGCGAATGGACTTAGTACTGGTATCCCCAACCTGCGCGATCGTCTTCCAAAATTAGAACCTCGAAAAAAGCGAAATGCACCATCGAATCCTCTTCCCGTCCCTGAGACACCAGATCTACCATCTCCCCCAGATCAGTCAAGCTTGAAATTCTGCAAGCCTACGAGACGAATTCTATCACCCAAGGATCATGATCTCTTCCTTCAGTCTCCTACTTACAAATTGCTCTTAGCATTTGTCTTTAGTCTAACAGATTCAGTCATCGATACACCAGTCTCAGCGACTACTAAGACAGACCTCAGCTCCACCGTTACCACTATTCTCGAAATATTAGACAAGGTTGAGGATGTGGTACAAAGAAGTCCGCCAGAAGAGCAAGGTGATTCAAGATTTGGCAACAAAGGTTTCCGCGATTTTCTCGAATTAGCTACAAAAGAGCATAGTGGATGGCATAAACAATTGGGTGTTTCGTCCGATGAAGCTATCGCCGAAGTCTCTACATACTTTTTACAATCTTTCGGGAATCGCACCAGAATTGACTATGGATCGGGACACGAGTTGAACTTTATGATATGGTTATTATGTTTATATCAACTTGGAATAGTGACTCGTCAAGACTTCCGCCCGCTGGTCTTGAAAGTCTTTACACGATATTTGGAGCTTATGAGGACTATACAGAAAACGTATTATCTAGAACCGGCAGGCTCGCACGGAGTATGGGGACTCGATGATTACCAATTTCTTCCATTCCTATTTGGCGCTTCTCAACTTTTACATCATCCGTATATCCGTCCTTTGTCGATTCATCAAAATCTTATATTGGAAGAATATGGCAATGAATATCTGTACTTGGGACAAGTTAACTTTGTTAATAGCGTTAAGAATGTTGAAGGACTGCGGTGGCACAGTCCAATGTTAGACGATATATCTTCCGCGAAAAACTGGACAAAAGTTGAAGATGGTATGAGAAGGATGTTTGTGGCCGAGGTACTCAAAAAACTACCTGTCATGCAACATTTTCTTTTTGGTTCTCTGATACCAGCTGAGGATGGTATGAGCACAGAGGAAGAGTTCGGAGTTCCCAATGAAGAAGATGATGCGGAAGGGGGAGAGGTAGTCGTTATGCATGATGGAATGAGGCATGTTCATCAAATGAATAGTTGGGGTGATTGTTGCGGGATTAAAGTACCGAGTAGTGTTGCGGCAGGCCAGGAAATGAAGAAAAGGATGGGAAATGAAGGTCTGAGAAGAATACCCTTTGATTAAGATATGATATATAGTTAAATCAAATCAAGCTATAATATAGTATCAAAGGTTATGAGACTACTATTTTGCGTTTGCGTTTTAATTTGGCATTTCTACTCGTTTGCACTTCGCCAATTTCGGCTTCTAACGAAGAGTAAATCTTCATCTCGTTGCGTTTCTCAAGCCCCCTCGTACGCACATGACTTCCATATTCTTGTTCATCTACCGAGCAAGTGTCTTTATTCACCTCATTCGGTATCACGATCATGACTATAGACTGAGCTTTTTTTCTCGGAAAGGGCAGAACCTCCCTCCTCTCTCTCTCTCCCTCTCTCTCTCTCCCTCTCTCTCTCCCCCCCCCCCTCTCTCTCTCTCTCCTGATTCAATATTGAAAGTTCGACCTCCTTGCTATATAGAATTCACGTCGTTTTGGTATGACTAAACTGTTATAGGCTACATGTAACTCTGCATCAACTGCCATCCAGATATCAAGAGCCTCTGGAACAACCGGAACAAACAATGAATACAGGTGGCCAAACACTAAGTTGCAAATTGGTACCGGCCGCCAGAATAGTTGTGTATATTTATTTAAAAAGTATTATCTTGAATAACTTTCAGTAGAACGACCTTGTCTTCTATACAAATTCCGAATTTCGGTAGTGAGACTATGATCCGAGGACTTGAAAATTGATAGCGAAATTTTGCATTCAGATGGCTTTTGTAATCTCCGAACTGTAAGAATATAAGATGGATGGGGGGCGTGAAGGGCTTCTTTGCTCTGCGTAGTACTACATGCTCACATTTTTTGCGTCATTATTACGATGAAATGGAATACACACGCGTTGGGCATAGCCAAAATTCCCAGCTGTGTGTTGTCAATCCCGCAGAGTATCCTAAACTCTAACGTTCTTGAGGTTTCGGTACTGGTATGAACTCAAAATATGGAATGTAAAGAAAAGTATTGATTACAATTCATGGGCATTTATTGCTTCTACTCAATGGAACTGCGCGTGGGTTTCCCTTGAAAGAGCTATGAGGATAGATTCTGTCAACTAAATTTCCTTGATTAGGAACTATACTTCTAACGAGTTAGACTCCAATTCCAATTGATGAATGCTGGGAACTGTCAATAGGGGATTTTTACCGATGCTTATGGCGCAACAAAGGGTAATCATGCCATAAGTAATGCGAGTGCGAGCGCAAATAAGATGGAAGCTTTTATTGGATAGAGAATTAAGTAAACAGCTCCCGGAAGAGCAAGATAGTCGAATTGGAGACTTGGAGGTGGTGAATGTTGTATTGAAGGTGTTATAGGAATTGGCAAATAAAACTCGTATTTAAAGTAGCTAAGTCTGAGTGCCAGTCAGATCAAGATGTATCAACTTCATCTTGTTACATAGCGAAACACTATAATAGCACCAAAAGGTTTCGATTACTATTATTGAGATTGAATGCGGTTGAAGGCTCAACAATGTGATGGAGTATATCTTGAGATTTGGACATTCACAATATGGGGTAACGAGAAAAAGAGAAGAGCTTTGAAAAGTATGAAGCTACGAAGGTGTGTTGAAGGAAAAGGGAAGGACGAGATGAGATGGCACATCATAAGATGAATTAGCGATATGAAATGAAGGGGTTTTAAGATGGGAGTGTAAGATGTGACGTGAAAACTGTGTCTACTTGATAGCAAACTATTGGATGATTGCTTCTGGGGCGCAGGGGTTTTTTATAGACTGATAGATTTGGCTACTTGATACTTGGACGAAGATGATGACAAAAAAGACCTTCATTCTTACTGTGAGTTTACAAAGATTGCGAGCGAGGAACGCTGTGAATATTGAAGCAGAGCTACAAAGATGTTTGGACTAGACTATTCATAGATGATCGAAGACACTTTGATAACATTCAATGGCCAATTTAGAGCTATTTGCTTCAGGGTATGCACTGGAAGAAAAGAGTGAGGTATGTGATTGACGACTTGGTCGAGATCACCATCTAACACCACCAGTGGTCGTCGCTTCGGCCCCTTCTCCTCTGAAAATGATACTTGGACCAAAACTACACATCAAATCTACCTGATACTTCTCATATTGGAAAAAATCTGGAGGCGAATGAACATATCCTACATCTGACGAGGCCAGAAGTTTTCGTGCGAGTTACATTTCCGAATATGAGACTTGCGATGAAGGGAGCCTAGAATTTGCCAGAGCGGTTTGACGTTGACCGAACACCTAATTCTCTTCTCCTCCAGACAGTGACTCGATCACGGATACTGATCCGTCTCATCAACCAGATTCACGTTTTATGTCTTCGGGTGCGTATCCGGTGAGCCCGGAAGGATTTTGTGTAATCAATGCATTAAGCCATCGGCATGTATTCTCCGAAGATTCCCGAGAACCTGAATTCTGGAGAGAATGAGAAAGACATTATCAAGTATTCGGACTGTCAAGTGTGAATCATGAAGCAGTGGGGTCGGTGGTTAAAACATCATTGACACATTTCTTGACCGAGTACCGGCCGCGGTTCTACCCCGCACCTTCCATATCGGACGTGTTCCCGAGTCAAAGAGCAGTGCAGGTACAAAGCAAAGAGTGTTTATCATCATCGTCACTTGAGCGATAAAAACTGTAAAAATAAAAGAGATTCAAGAAGACAAATACCAAGACGCGTATAAAAAGTGGGATGTGATCATAATAGAAATTTCCTATAATAACAATATGTAACTGTAAATAATATATGACGTGAAATTTGCTCGAGGTTGAGTTGCCGCGGACATGTCCCTTCATTTTCTAAACTTTCCACTTACGGTACTCGTGAGGAATGTCAAGACATTGATTCCATTCAAGAAATAAATCTTGGAACTACGGTATTGGGGTCCAGATTCTACAGCTTTTGGAAATCCTAGATCCCGTTCCATTTTATTTTTTTCGTCCTCTCAGATTTATTCGGTGAAAGGAAAGAGAAATGCTCAGCCCGTTGTGTGGGTGGGCGAAGCATTCGGTCCTCTGGACTTTTGCCGCAGCAGGAACGCCATATTGTTTGTGAAACAGGCTGGAAGCTAGAAGACGATATGTATGGATCACTAGGAGGACAAGGCTGTTGATGGATGACTGTCAGATGTAGAGCCAAAGAACTAAACGAAAGAAACGGCTACGGTGGACCATTTCAATTGTAAGGACGAATTGCTAGATACTATCAGATCAAGGCTATGCAATTTTTTTTTGAACTTTTCGAATTTGTGATTGGATGTCAAGGGAAGAACTGAAAAGTGAACATCGAGGGGATTGAGCTCCCAAGGTTTTTTCTTTGAATCGATCTGATCCACCTTGTTTGTGTTCGGCGGCTGTACGGTTACGACAAGCGAACGATGAAGGGGCCTCGGGGGCATGTCATATAAACTGGTATCTTGGCCATTCTTGATTTCTTCTAAGCTTTAGATGATATCGATTGATGGGTTTCTACCATTCCACCAATTTGCTGGTGGAGAATGGCTCGAAAATGGGTCGCGACTTTCTCCTCCGTCTTGTGTAAGCGCCCACGGCCCTTGTGCTTACGGCCCCATCTTGAGGTCCCCCATGGTTAAGACCTTCCTTTCGCTTGAAAAAGACCAATTGATGATCGTTACCCGTAAGACTTAAGCCTTTTGAAACATGAAGCCAACCCATTTCCTCCCAAAGTAACCTTACTGGACGGATAACCAATTAGATATTGGGATTCTCTAAACATTTATTAGCTTTCTTAATCGGGATCGTGCTTTAGATGCAGGAACTCGGGAGCTCATCTTCGGAGGGATGAGAGGGCTTTGAAGGAAGGAAGAATAAAGTAAAAAGGAAGTACGCTTGGGTTTGATTGATCGAATGAATGATGCGTTTGCTGGCTGTGCAAATGTATAGAAGTTCCGAAAGACGATTGAAAAAAGTGGTAGCTTTGGATGAATAGTTCCTGACATCATAAAATGTACACAGCCGCTTTCCCCATCATACCTAGGTACTATGCCGACTTGCCATGTCATGTCATGGAAAAGACTAAGACCTGGAAGTTTTGGGCTGATTCGAAGCTTGAGTTAATGAATGAATGCTTGGTCTGCCTTGCTCCAGTAAATGGGTTTGTATACCTTGAGCTGTACTTTGCCATACAGAGTAGTTGAGTAGGCATGAAGATGATGGATGGTTCGTGACTTCTATTTCCAACAAATGTTGAAGAATGTCTCGTTTTCGACACCCTTGATGAAGCTTTATGACCCTTTCATACCTCGTAAATCATTTTGGGGTTGTAGATTCCCTTGAACATTCCCTTGAACATTCCCTTGTAGATTCCCATGGCAAATGATTCTAGTTATGGCCAAATTGATGATATTTGATCACGATCAGCCCAAGTAAAGGTGCCTACCCACTTGTGCGTTTCCACTCTCACCCAACCCACCAACCCACTCTTTGTACCAGTATCCATCAGATCGCCTGGTTATCTTTTTATATTTGTGCTGGGAAGATTGCGCGCAGTCAAGACCCATGGTCGTTTAATTTTTGCTTCCTCCTCCACCATTCAACTTTGCTCCACCAGCTCGTCTTTTGCTAGACTATTCCCTTTTTCATCTAACACACTCCAGCTTTTCTTTGGATTGTTCTTATTATTGCTTCAGCGTCAAATTTTTAAATTTAGTCGTCAAACTCCGAATTTAATCGCTGGCCCTTGTTCCTGGGCCTGTGAATCCGTTCATTCTCCCGTTGACCAAGTCCCTGTCATCTTGCTTAGCTTTTAAAGAAGCTCGCGGAAACTAGGAAATTTATAGACAGATCAAGTTAGAGAAAAAATAAGGCTTTCTGCTATCAATCTCCATCTCTCTGGAACACCAACAACAAACAACTTCAACACTTTTGGATTCGCCCTTTACGAGTATCCTTCCCATCGTTTGTTAATGCTTGAGAAAATCTATTTTTTCTTGACCTCATCTCAATTAAATACAAAGCCCGCCCGCCCGCCACTACCACCACCACTCTTCCCATTAGATTAGATTTCTCATCACTGGACAAGCACTCTCACTGCTTGTATCGAACCTGGAACACTGCTTATCTTAGCCTTAGCGCCTAAAAGTTAATCGCTGCACGCCCCCTCAGCTCCAAGTCCTTGTCCTGTCGATTTAGTACCACACCCCCCAGTTCCCGCAAAAGGCTTTCTCTCACCCCTCCGACTCCTCCTCTTTCAATCGTTCATCCTCATCCCTTTTTAACTTGTCCTATACTATCTCACAGGAGCCTTTACATTTGCTTTCTGTCAGCTCACCCGCATCACCAATATTTTTATCTGTTCTCACGAATAGAACACATTCAACTGCTAGTTTCATTTTATCCACACGCATACCATATACCCCCCAAACTTTCAACATTCCGAATTCATTTCTTACTATTTCACATTGCTACTTCATTGGTATCATCCAGCGAACCAGTTCACCTCAATTGCAGTTTTGTGACCTGCATATAAGACCTGCAATACCTGCAACACCGATCCCCGAGGCTGCAACATGACCAGTACCTTGCTCATTACCTGTTGACCACACTTATAGCTGATTAGGCCTACAATAAGAAGACCACAGCTTTTTATACATATCGTACCCCCAAGAAATACATAGCCTCCTATATTCTCCACACGTTATGTCTTCATACACTTCCATCTCATCACATCTAGTCGATGCTCAAGTTCAATACTCGCGAGAAGAGACCGACTCCCTCTGCCTGAATACACATCACATAGCCAACACACAATTTGACCCTACTCTCCTGTCTCCGTACAATCAATCGCATACAATCAGTAATTCTACAAGTCCATACAACATTGGTAGCACACCAGTCGAAAGTCTTTCCGAATTCAGCAAATTTGGTAGCGACTATAGCGAAATCGAGGACGAATTCTTTGGAGTGGATTTCGACGCCGGCGTGCAGCGAATAGATTCACTACCATCCAATCTTACAACATATCCGACGGAAGCGTATACAAAAGCCACACATCAGGTATCTTCGAATACTAGGAATCAAAAATCACCAGAAGCCCTCACAGCTTCAAACTATCCGCTCAGCCCAAAGAATACAAGTATTCCAAATACACCCTCCCCTAGAAGCGAGGTGAATGATAAGATCCATTCAATAATTACACATCACGAAATAGAGATCGACAACGAGATCAATCAATCGGGATTTCCATTTCCAGAATTGACATCGACACTTAATACACTGCAATTGACGCCAGAGAATAGCGGCAGCAGTCGCACGAGCGCTGAAGGGTTTGAACCAACCGGCATGGCTTTTCGTGCCCACAGTCCGCATGTGACTGTTTCGCATTGGGCCGAAGAACAATCTTCGGCTAGGCGCGATTTTGCGCCAAATGTGAATCAATACAGGGAGCCAGTGAAACCCGATTTTGAAGATTATCAATATCCATCCCAGAGTTTCAACCAGAGCTCCAAACCGACCGCATTGCGGAATGATGAAGGACTATGGAGTCCGAATGACACAACAGGTCTGGCGGGATTAGATCCTGAAAGTCGAAAAACTTTCTCCGGCGCTGAAATTCCTAATCTGAAAGAACAAGAAGAGCAACGACATATCGATGACACGAATATACAGGTACACTTATGGCGCCAGAGAGGCAATTCAACCAGTGATCCAAATGTGCCGAGATCTAGAGAATCGACTTATGCTGTACAGGTTGAGCAGGCTGAAGTTAATTTGGCACCAGTGGATGATGCCGCAAGCATTAGAGAGAATAGGTTTCTTGATGGGCAAGTTTACTACAACATCAAAGGCGACTCACCAACTGATGACGACGTGAAATTGATGAGCCAAATACGTCAATTCAACGATGCTCCTGCGCTACCATACATGACAGTCACCAACTTTCAAGCACCAGCTACGGCAAATGATGCCATCCAAAAGTGGAATGGAAACGCAGACACTTTCTCAATAATCTCACGTGCAGCAACTTGGGGCACGCGACGAAGAAGTGAGCCAAGCCTGATGGACTATGACGCCGTGGCTGATGGCAGTCTCCTCAAAAAATTGTCAATTAAGCCAGAAAGGAAAGGATCAGGGCGTTGGACTAACCTTTCAAACTTGGGACAACGCGCTGTTACTCGTGTGAGAAGTAACAGTAATCTCAACAAGAGAACTCGTAGCTCTTCAAACTTGCAAGATTCTTCAATGGAGATTAAGCAAAAGCAAAACAATTCAAATAATCTAGCGCCACCACCAAGAACATCTAGCTTTGGAAAGAAGCCAACACCAAGTCTCAATACTGCAATAGCAGCAATTTCTGGAATCGGAACTGCGGTGGGTACAAGTGCACATCACACCCCACACACTCGTAATGGCTCTATGAGTGCAGTATCTCCGAAAAGCCCTCTCCTAAATCTACCCTTCCTTCGCAAGGACAGCGGACGGACCAGAAGTAAGAGCGATCTGTCGATTCGAGAAGGCGGATCTGCTACTTCGATATCTGCTATTGGTGAGCTCTGGAAGAAACAAGGTGGCCCACCTATTCCAAGTTTGGCTCCTCAGGTTGAGCCCGAGTCCGAAGATGATGAAGATGATGAGCAAGGCGATGAGGGTGACATCAGAATGGAACATACTCAATCGGAACCGATTGTTCCTACATATGAAGGTTTCAAGGAGCATGTAAGGCGGCTAAATCCCGACATGAATCCAAAGTTCGGTTGGCTTATCAGTCGCATTGCTCATCAGCAAGAAATCCGATACAAGAATCTTCTTGATCAACGGGTAAAACACATGCAAGCCATCATGAATCAAAACTGTTCTGCAAGACCACATTGCATCGCATTGGGCGGAAGTGCTACATTATATGATGCCAAGGGAAAGAATCGAGAACATGACCGTAGTGCTGGTGGGCTACAACTGGTTACGGATTTTTCCGACGATTCGAACCCTGGTGATGGTGCTCTTTCTAGCGAAACTTTCCCCAAAGGTGTTCCATTACCACCAACCCGAAATCTTCCCGCAGAGTTTGAATGTCAATTGTGCTTCAAATCCAAGAAGTTTCACAAACCGTCAGATTGGACAAAGCACGTCCATGAAGATGTCCAACCATTCACTTGTACATATGATAAGTGTAGGGAGCCCAAATCATTCAAACGCAAAGCCGACTGGGTTCGCCATGAGAATGAGAGACACAGGCATTTGGAGTGGTGGATATGTCAAATTGAAGATTGCAGGCATCCTTGTTATCGAAAGGATAACTTCCTGCAGCATCTGGTTCGTGAGCACAAATTACCAGAGCCTAAACAAAAGACAAAAGCAGCCATCAAAAAGGCCAAACATACCGAGCAAGCTTGGGCGATGTTAGAAAGATGTCACCACGAAACAACAAATAAACCACAGGACGAGCCCTGCAAATTCTGCGGCAAATCCTTCACCACTTGGAAAAAACTCACTGTTCATCTGGCGAAACACATGGAGCACATCAGTTTACCAATTCTCCAACTTGTTGACCAGAAGAATGTCGATGCTGATACGATTATCAGCCCAATCGAACAAAATCTTACTCCCATAACTCCAATGGGCAAAACCAAATTCGAGGAGTCAAGTCCTTATGGCATGGAAAGCATCTCGCCCAACATCCCCATGGTGCCCCAGTTTAGTGCCGGTTTCCATCAACCTGCATTTTATTCCACGTCTGGCCCTTCACCAACGTATGTCATTGGAAACTCAATGACACACACCCCAATGACGCAAGGAAACCCAAGTGAACAATTTCCACTATTTTCCAATGCCAATGCCAATGCATATAGTGCTCAGCAAACAAACCAGCCGCGACAATTTGGCTCAATGAACTCTGCTAACCTTAACAACATGCATCATCCTACGCCATCATATATTAATACCGGCTTTGTCAGCAACAAAATTGACCAACCCCACTCAGCCTTTGGAACTATCGACACTACCAGTAGCTTTATTCAAAACAAGGTTGATCATCCACCTCACTCTGCCTTTGCTTCAATCGGTCCCAATTCTTTTCAATCCCAATCCAATCAGAATTTTAATCAGACACCTCACTCCGCCATCGGTTTCTCAATGAACCAACCTTTCGTTACGACTTCCCCTCCAGTTTCAACATATATGATGGATCAAAATACATTTGGCTTCGATTCTTTGAGTGTCGATCCCATGACCAACTTTCAGCAAGTACCCATGAGTCGTGCCCAGGGTAGCTCTTCCTCCTATGGTCAATCCCCTCAAAATCTACAGCATTCTCCTCATAACATGCAATATTACGGTCACCAATGATGAATGGAATATATCTTGCTCCATACGATTTCTTAGCTCCACGGAGCCTTTTTCTTTATTTATCTCTTGGGAAGGGAGGGAGGATTTTCGGTTTGCGTTTATGGGCCTTTGAACCGTAACGCCTTTCTTTTTATTGTAATTGGATATACCTCTTTTGATTTCATCTTTTATCGCACAGATACCACGGCATACATGTCTTTTTCTTTCTCTCTCTCTTGGT